TTTACATCCTCCACTTATTTTCTTTTTACAATCACTGTAAATTTATTAACTTTCCAAAACTTTTTTAAAGAATAATTTTAAAAAATTATTAAACACATATATACAAAAAAAATATTTTACAACTGAAAAAAAAAAGGTCAAAACCTCTATTTACATCCTCCACTTATTTTCTTTTTACAATCAACACCTTCAAGTAATATTTGTTCCTATCAACATCCTCTACTTTTCAAAACCCCTCAAAAACTCAATATCTTAATAATAAACCACATACCGTGACCGTTAAAAATCATTAAAAAATGCTATATGATGACACTCACACAGTGATATGAATATTATGTGTTATTATAAATCTAATGTGAAATTTTGTATGAGATAGCATTATTTTCACACATGAACGCCACATGTGCATGGGACCATTTGTCACTCTCCTCCGCTTCCATTTCCAGTCCGAAATCGCCTCTCCAAAATCCTTTATCTCGCGCAAGGAAGAGCTCTCGATTTCCTTATATAGCTTCGACGGGAATCCCAAGATCGCCTTCTTCTTCCTCGCCCGCTTGGACCTACCTCTTGATTTTCTCTGGGGCACCTTCTTTGAGGTTTGTTTCTTTGCTTTTCAAACTTGTGCACAGTTTTATGATAAAGGGAAAGGAATTTCTGCAGTTTCTTGTTAAACCCATGAATTTCAGAATCTGAAGTTGTTTGGCTTTTGCAAAATGCTGATGCTGGAAATTTCCCTATTATATACACTCTTGGAGCCTGGGTTTGTTTTTGATGAATTGAATTTGGGCTCGCAATTCTTTAATTATTGCTCTAATCCCTTATCTCTTCCCAAGATCATGAGCAATTAGCACGCTAATGAAAGTAATATACTACTTAACAAAATGGGGATTCTGTGATGTGGTGCAGGGTTGACAGTGATAGTGCACCATTCGTGCTCTCTTTTTCTTCAGGTTCCTTTCTAGAAAAGCAGATTTCTTACAATTTTCTTGCATGGGAAAATGACAGGAGGATTTCAGGAATTCTCTCTCTTGGAGCGACTTGGGGAAGGACGCAAGCCTACGGCTATCATTGGTGACGTCGCTGATGAACTGAATTTAGTTCCCTATTTTTTTTTTTTTTTCCTTTTTTGGTGGAGGTGCCCGGACAAGCAAGAAAAGTCCCGCCAACAAATGGTTCCCATTGTATACGTGGCATCTAGGTGTGTAAAAATAATGTCATCTCATCAAAAAAAATTTTACATTGAATTTATAATGCCACATAATATCCACATTATTGTTTGAGTGCCACGTATAACATTTTTTAATAGTTATTAACATTCACGTAAACAGCATGTGGTTTGTCGATAAAATATTAAGTTTTTGATGAGTTTTAAAAAGTGAAGGATGTTGATTGAAACAAAAATTACTTTAATGTATTGACTATAAAAAGAAAATAAGTAAATGGTACAAATAGGGATTTTGGCACCAAAAAAAAAAAAAAAACTTCCACAATCCACATACAATTTCAAATGCACCCATAAATCTGGTATCTAACCTATTTAGATTAGAGGTGACAATTTGTTTTGATCCTTGCGAGGCCCTGCAAGAATCCCTGCCACGAGGACAAGGGCAATTTCATAGGGAATTTTTCTTGCCTTGGGGGATCCCCATCCCCATAAAAAATTTAAAAAATATGTAAATTAATTTTATTTTTAATTTAATTCAACCTTCAAACTCAAACCCAATTCAATAAAAATTAAGCTTAACCCAATTTTACCCAAGCCAACTCACATTAACCATTTAACCCTAACCTTACTCATTTCTCATCACTCTCACCTTCGACCTTCCCCTCCCCCCTTTGTGCATTCTATCATCTACACTCTTCAAGAATCTTGATCGTAAATCCCATTGCTGCCCTTATGCCCTTCTCACCCTTCTACCTTCACTTTCACCTTAAATCTCAAACCCTCACTTTCACTCTTCAAGAATCTCAAATTGTAAATCTCAAACCCTCCATTGTCGCTATTGATCTATTGCTAAAGCTGCTGTTGGAGCCACATTGCTGCTGGAGTTGATTGCTACACACTGCTATTGTTGAATTCATCTGGACTGCTGCTATCAAGCTCGAAGCCATCTGCCATCACCATCGGATCTATTAGATTGTTCAACTTTGTCTCT